GCAAGTTTCTTCAGTGTATCTAGCTTGAAACTAGTAATCTGAGATGAAGAAGGACTACTTTTCCATGACAGCTGATGGACATGTTCTCTCATTGGGATTTTGATGGTCTTTTGTAGGGGTAGTTTTAGAAGTACCTGCGGGTGTAGATAATTCTCCTGATTGCTGTGTAGCAGATCAAAGTTGCTTAGCAGATCAGGATGCTGATTTTACCTGTAAAATCAAGGTTAGAAGCCTTGTGAATGCTGTGATGATTATGCAGCTTTCTACAGAATTCCTTCAGTAATTTGTGAATTAAAATCAAGGTCTTGCAAAAATCTTTGGGTGCAGTCTAGTGATTTCAGCAAAGCAAAATTAGATCAGCTCCACAGATATTTACTGGTAGAGTGAAGGCAGAGCGGCGTATTTGAGAAGCAGCAAAATGAGTGGGAAAATTCCTTTAGTACTTTCTATCTTCGGCACTGGCAAGATGGAGTCAGAAGGTCATCGATCGTGAACGTGCTGGCTAGAAGACTTGTAATTCCTGTTGAAACGGGTAGACAAGTATCCTAGTGGTTTTGGAGGCTTTAAAGTTCTAAGTATATAATTAAAATGTAGCTAAAGTTACATAGTGGTTTTTCTTACACATACTGTTACTATTTTTTTTACCCATACTGTCAGCCTGTCCTGCTCACTGTTACATGGTGAGGAGAATAGGCTGAGTGATGCTTCTTCAAAGAAGAAGGAGGACTAAGACTTGGAGCTGTCAAATTCAGTGGCAGATTTGGAGGATAAGACACGACAGTATCAGCTTCCTGCTGTTAGGAAAAGGGAAATAAGATAGTGATTTCAAAATATTTGTCAAATGCAGGATGAATGGTGTAGTGAGAATAGTATAGATAAGCAAAAGTGAGTTGGAAAACCAAGTTAATGGGTAAAAAATTATATCAGAAAAATGGGAGGAAAAGAACACTTGAAGAAATTGTGTTGAAAATGTGAGTAAGTTTGTAGAACACTAGCTATTTAGCTGTAATAGGCAGGCCAGAATTTTGTAACTTGCTCATTTAGAGTAACTTCTTTCAGTTTTCTCCTTCATTCTTCCTGTCTGTCTTTACTAAGGTGAAGGGTTCAGTTCTGCTAATACTACACCATTTACTTTAATAGTATGCAGAAGATGGTTATTGTCTTTCTTAGAAATAAGGGAGTTTGCTTTTTCCACCTCTAATTGTAGGTATGGCTAAAATTGAGTAATTTTGTCACGGTTAGAAAATAGTCATGTTTCTTCAGATAAGAGTTTAGTTTTTCAGGGCTGGCTGGTCAGCAGGATTTTTCCTATTCAGCCTCGAATGTCGGTCTTCTCTTTATGTGTTCAAAAAAATTGTCAGCATAGAGAGTGGCAATTTATGTAATACTTATAAGACAAAAATAATCAGAAACCTGTGCAAGACAGGCGAAGCCCGTTAGCGCACTTAAAAACAGATGAGAAAAAGAAGCAAGGGTTGTTCTGATGGAAACCATAGGGGAAAAGTCAAAATTAGAGGGTGTATGGAGGTGGTTGTCCTACAGAACATTTGAAGGTGAGAGCAAGAAGGATGAATGTGATTCAGAAGGCAATAGGGCTTCCTTTGAAGTTGGGAAAATTTGCCAGACTTTGTACAAGGTCTGTTTAAATAAAGACTGTCTGCAAGACTGGATGTAATATTTGGTTATTAAATAAAGGGCATCTGCTCTCATAAAAGCCACCCTGTTTTGTTAGTGTATGTTATTGGCTATTTTCCTACTTTGTACAGGCTTTCTATAGAATAAGCGCATGGCAGCCTGACAAATGGAGCATTTATTGTGGCTAAAAGTACTGTAAACAAAACCAAAATAGCAAGGTTTATTGGCTTTTATAATACATTACAATTTTTTAAATTGGCAGTGGTATAGTGGAATTTAGTATTTTAGGACTCAAATGTTGTTATCTGAAAACAGTGGACTTCATTTTCCAATTCTTTTTTCTATTACATACGGTGCTGTTTTTTCTATTTGTTGCTCACGCCCATGTGTTGTAGAAACAGATTCTAATAAGAAACATTTACAGACTCTGTTGCTCGTTCACGTGAGCTCCACACAAATGTATTGCCTGCATTTGTTCTCATCGGTTTAAAAAAGTAATTATTGGCCTTTGAATTTGAAAAAAATTCTGATTTGAGTCTGCTTCTCATATTGTCTTGTTGTGAGCTGAAGCATATGGAACCTTCATTATAACTAAAACAAGATAAACTCTCCAAGGTAACAAAGAAACCTCCTTGAAATGCCTATGAAAGTTAAGTATCTGTCTTTTATACAAAGATTTGATCCAGCAATCATTATTCATACAGAAATTCCACTGAAGTCCAGAGGAATTTTGCTGGAGTGAAGATTTTATGATTAAATTGTGTTGGAATCTAGTAGTGTTGAACCTGGTCCCAGCAGGCATGAGGTCCAGTCCCTTATGCCGTTCCATTATCTTCCTAGGGTAAGAAGAGTTTCTTTGTTTTCCCAACTGAACTTATTTTTAGTGTCAAGTTCTTCGAGGTCTACTTTGAAAGCGCATGTGCAGGCTGCACAGGCAGTGTAGTAGTTGTATGCTGGAATTGTCTCCTTCAGACCTGGTGAATGTCACAGTAGTGTGCGGAGGTATGCCGTCAGCAGGCGAGTGCTGGTAGTGACGCGGAGTGGTTGTCGATTCATGATAAGAATGTCAATAATTGAGTTAAATTAAATTTTAAGAGAAAAGACTTTCTTCCACACAGCAAAAATTTAAGAATTTATGTCTTGATATTGTTGTAAAACAAGTTAGCAAGTGTCATACATCTGTTTAAAGTTTTGATAATTCCTAAATAGAACCACAGGAAAATTCAGCGATCTTATCAGAGATACAGTATTAATGTTTGAGACCTGTGAGTTTTGGGAAAGAGGGAGGAGCGGAATATGTTTTCTTACAGTGTAGGCTGAGCCATTAAATTTGAATGTCAAAAAGTGAGGTCCTCTCTGCCTCTTAAGCCTCTTGAAACACTCATAAGCCTTATTTATATTTATGTTTATGTTTAGTGTCTAAGGAATCATAGGGAGGACTTTCTTAGTTTCAGGGTAGTTTTTGGTTTGTTTTTTGTTTGTTTGGTTGGTTTTTTTCTGTACAGGCAAGATCTGTCTGAACAAGGGCTTGCTTGCTACAACCGTGTCTTGTTTTTATTCTTTTAAGAGAATATATGAACATATTTTCTGTTAAAGAAGAGTTTAAAGAAAGCAGGCTATCTTGTCTTCCAGTTTTTGTGATACTATATATCACAAAAAAGATTTACTCTTGGTTCTGTTGTGTGTTTTCTGTAATGACTCTATAGATGACTCAGTTACCAAGAAGTGGAATGTTATTAACTAAAAGGAAAAATGATCCATCTTCTTCAGACAGGTAACATATTTCAGGTTTCGCATTTCATTTAAAATGCAGAAATGAAGTTACCTCGCAACAGAAGAAAAACTTTCTTCCTAAAGGTTTAATTGTGCTCCTGTTGGTTTGAACTTCTGGATCTACTGGTCTGGATTCATGTTGTCCAGTGCTGGGACAGAGAAGATCTGACATCTCTTAATTTTTCTGGTTTAGTATGGGATATAAAACCTTTTGGACAGCATAAGGAAACAACAAAAAGTCATAATACTCTTTATCCTTATAAATCAAAAATACTTATCTCTGCCTGAAAATTTGATTTCGGCTGTCACCTTTAAAAATACTTATGAAATCTGAAAGGAAACTGAGGGTTATTTTTCTCCTTTCCTGACTTTGTTTTCTATATTTGGCAGTATTGAATAATGTATGTATAACTGCAGAATCAATTTTGCATCTGTGCTAATAAGCAATTTCATTTCGTAGTCTCCAGTTCAAAACTTACTTCATCATGATAATGCACTGGTGTGTTGGTGTGTGTGAGTGCGTTTCTCCTGCCAGTGGGTTTAGAGCACTTCTGTGGAGCTGGCGGATCTGAAATATGCCCTTGCACCCTTTTTGGAATAGAAGCAGGCTGTTGGTGATGGGTGTGAAGGAGGCATTGTCTGTTGGTGATTCCTTTTGGTGAAGCTGTGGAGGGAAGATTGAGCCATAATTCTGCAGATGCTCCCATGGGGTGGTGGAGCGCCATAGGGATAGAATAAGACACTTGGATACAGGTAAAGCCTTTGCTGGGCCTGGCAAAGAAGGTTTTTGAAATAGATGATCACAACTTTGATGTCTGTTCAAGAGGCGAGGGTTTATGTCATGGTTCCAACGCCTGTGGAAATATTTTTGAAGTTACTGCTACTGGTGACCTGCAAAAGAAGGGATGGCTGTTAGATACACCTACGGGCTCGCTGTTCTGCCACCCGTGCTTGTGGAGTTACTGGCAGTAGGGGTTGCAGCTGCAGCACTGAAATGACAGTTGACTGTGCAGGGGTCTCAGATACTTCTTTGCTAGTGCAAGTGCAGTTGATATAACTCTTAACCAGTGGTTAAAAGGAAGGGACAGAGGGGGAAAAATGTTTGCTAGGGTATAAACCTGAGCAAAATCAAAGGAGAAAAGGTTACCAGATGAAATATTTGCCACATAGTATACATTCAGCTAATACACATCACTGCTAAATAAAGGCCGCTTGAAAAATATCAAGTGTCCTTTTAAATAGCAAAATAAAATGTATTTTTATTGGTAATTAACATCAGATACAAATTCTCCTTCGTAAGTAGATGTGAGCCTATTAGCTTTGACGAAGTTAGTAAGCTTCCAGAGTTGATTTTTGGTTCTTGAAACAGGTCAGCACTGCAAAGAGCTTTGTGCTTGCTTAGTTATTAAGTTTTCTCTTCAAAAACAAATACAGGCAAAGAAGTTTTTCAGTACAGGAATGCTTTAATTTTTGGTATGGAATTTGGTTTTCATATGGTAAATTATACTAGCCAGATACATGAACCAACTAACCAGAGTTAAATGACTAGCCTCCAGAAAACACAACTTAACTTGCTCTTTTTCTCCTTTAAGGTGGTTTCACCTAGAGTCCAGACAAGGGAAGAGAACTAAAGACAGAGGAGAAATAAAGGTCAATATTCAGTTTATGAGGAATAACATGACAGCAAGTATGTTTGATTTGTCAATGAAGGACAAAACCAAATCCCCTTTTGCTAAACTAAAAGACAAAATGAAGGGTCGAAAAACCGATGGGACGTTTTTAGATACATCCTCTGCGATCATCCCAAGTACTCACATACCTGATGCAAATGTAGAGGTATGTAGTGGTGAAGTACAAATGAAATCAAAACCAAAAAAACCTTTCCTTTTGGGACCTCAGCGACTGTCCTCAGCTCATTCAATGTCAGATTTAACGGGATCGCATGTCTCCTCAGAAAAAATGAAATCCAGCACAGTTGGCTACTCTCATCTTTTCAGGCGTCAGCTAGAATCTTTTGGTTCGGTTGATGAAGGTGGTAAGTAAAACTCGTAACCATTATTATTACAGTTTACTGCTGTTAGAGCATTCAAAAGTCTGGTTTTTTAGTTTATGAGGCAATTACAAGGCCAAAAAGTTAAAAATTATTGCTGGCCTATTTTTTTTTTCACTTCTGTTAGTTGGAGGTAACTCATAATTGCTGTTTCTGAGCATAAGAAATACTTAATTGATCATAATGTATGGTAATTTAGCATTTTTCTTCTTATGTCCTCATTTGAGAGTATGTTGTAGTTGAAGCATCTCATTCTAGAGGGAACTCCAGGCAAAACAGCGTCTTCTGAAAAATAAAAGTCTGTTTAAAAAGTTGAAAACTTTCGTCACCAAAGTTTTAAACCTGTTTTATATGAAGAACTGAAAATACTTTGCATTGTTCAAAGTTATTATGCAGCAATAGACTACTGTTGCTTTCTGGAATGGCACACTAGTCATAGCTGCCTTCTTTGTAGAACTTTGTTTTCACACAAGAAGCAGAAATTTGCTGTAGGGTCTCTCCGTAAACATTTCTGAACCACGAAGTGAAGGCCACAGCTGCGGGTTTGTTTTTTAAAAAATAGCTTTGTTACTCAGCAGTGTTTTGAGCTGAGACTGAATTGTAAAGCTTCCAGACCTAAGCTAAAATGGGTTCTCTGCATGTCATAAACTATGATACAGTGTCTCATTGATAATATACTAATGACAGATTGTTTGCAGGGAGTCTAAAATCTCCACATAGAAGGACATTAAGCATTGATACTCCTAAAATGAACCAGCTTGACAGCACAGTTGATGAAACTGCACTTGAAGCACAAAATGACCCATTTACCAATGTGAGTGCTTCGTTACCCCAAAAATTTGCTACACTGCCAAGACAGAAGAATCCGTTTGAAGAAAGCCCAGCAACATGGGATCAAAACATAAGTCTGTTTTCCAAACCTGTCGAAATCAGAAAAGAAATTAAAAAAGAGAAAAAAGAGAAAGTTAGTCTTTTTGAAAGAGTGACTGGAAAAAAAGATAGCAGGAGGTCAGATAAACTTAGCAATGGGGGATCAGACAGTTCTGCTGACTTGAAATCACCTAGTGCGTTTGGTGAAACTCATCAGGAGAGTTTTGATTATGATTCGACTAATCCGTTTGTGACAAACTTCAAGCCTACAAGCATGTTGCCATCTTCAAGGTAGGTTTTTGCTGTATTTCGATCTGATATCTTGAACATGTTATATAAATGAAAATGTGAAGTGTTGAAGAACACAGTCTTTGTGCTTTATATACGTTTATAAGATTGCTTATCTGTTTCTAAGTAAAATTTATGAACTTTTTATGTAGTTTGATCTTTTCTTATTTCATTTTGAAGTTACATTTATATTACTAATGTGTACCATGAATGTTCCTGGTTACTCAGATTTGTGTAAGACCTTGTTCGTGAATCAGAATGGGTTCTTCCTGAAAGTCTTCTGCTTTCACTGAACACTCACTGCTAATTGTTACACTGCCCTGAGTCAAGGTTTTAGAGGGAAAGGTTTCCAGTCTAAGGGAAAGATGAAACAGAATAAAGAAAAGGGTGAAGAAGATGTGAGTAATAAAAACAAACCCTGTGGATGTCACCATGTGGGAAAAAAATGGGTTTAGATTCTATACACTGAAGCACAAGAACTGAAGACCATTCTGTTTCTAAATGGAAGCACCCACATGAGCACTTACCAGGCTTGGATTCCTTTGACTCACTGTAGCTTTGCAGAGTTCCTGTGTATTCAAGTCGTTGCACAAGGCAGCAGTTTGTGCTAAGCAGAGTGAATTACGTTACAGGGGCTGATAAGAAACTTTGATTTAAGCAATCCATTTTAATCTTTGTTTGTCTATCAACAGTTAACTTGTTTTCCTTAAAAAAAAAAAAAGTATCACACAGTTGTTTCCTTTCTGGCTTTTGTTTGCCAGTGAGGAAAATATACTCTCTCTCTATATATACACCCCCCCACCCATATACTGTTCCAAATGGATAAATATTTAAGCAGTTAATTATTTAACTTTTATCCATTTGCATTCTCATTTTTTTTCTGTATATTAATGCCAGAAATTAACCGTCTTTTTTTTCCAAGGTAATGATTAATTTCTATTTAATGACTTAAGTTTGATAGAAATTAAATTTGGAATTAAAATTCTCCAAACTGGAAGTTTAAGGTTGTGGAATAAATCGCCATTTTAAACAGAAAACATGGTTCTAACGAATTTGCCTTTTCCCTGTCTATTAATCCCTTATTAATGACACAGTAGTATTTTCTTTTTAAAAATTTCTTGTTTTGTGTTATCTTGTTCTTTAAGAATTTAGAACAGATTGATCTTATTGTATCCAAACTCAGTTTTGTTCAAGGGTTAGAATGCATGCACTCCTGATTTAAACTTACAGTCATTTTCAACTAATCATGGATGTGAATTAGATAAATGAACTGAAATGGAACTGCTCTAGAAAAGATTTTGTTGCCAGAAGCTCACACAGACCTCAATGAATTACCTTCTTAGCTTCTTCTATGAGTCAAGTCAGTTCCTACTGTCTTAAATAACATGTTTACAGACAGAGTCTTAGAATATTACTTATTTAATAAAGGATTTCTCTAGATTAGAGTAAGGTTAGGACGTAGCTTGATTTGTCAGAAGTTAAACTTCCATTTAAATAAGCTCCTTTAAAAGAGAAGTAATTTAAATAACAATTAAAATGACATAGTGTTTAACTTTTTTAAAATGAAAAAATGTATTCAGGCAGATGCTAGATATAAGTAGTGAAATCTTTTGAAGTTCTTGAATGCAGCAGATCTTGATAAATATAAATCTTTGACTGTAATCATGATGGACTTTTTTTTCTTTATTTTGTAATTAAAAAGCTCATCACAGTGCCCATTCAGAAGGACTCTAGTCATTTGTTTCTCCTCTTTGTGTGAGTCTCTTTTACTAGTTCTTGACTTTTATGTAAACAGAAACTTTTGATAAGACAAATAGATATTGTTATTTTCAAAAAGCCAAAAATAGTAAACATTTTGACCTGTTCTATAAGACAGCTATTATGGAATAATATGTAGCATGCAATAGTTTAAGTTAGAAGCTCTTGATTTTTATATGCTTCAGTATTGTGTTCTGTGGGAATCTTTTAGAATATGTTCACTTTCTTTCAAATGTGTCTTGTACAATGATTTTCTTTTGAAGTAGAAACTGATACAAAATGTGCATATTCAATAAGTTTACAGTTTAAGTTTACCTTTTATCTGGGGAGGGTTTGTTGAATGGAATCCATTTTTAATTTTTCAAACTAGTAATACTGTGAAGAAAGAATTGTGTAAATCTGTGGGCACAAAATAAATGAGGCTGAGTAACAAATTCAGAACGCAGAAAGCGTACACAGAGAATTTAGACTTTGAGTTGCTTTTTATTTACTCTACATGCTATTAAGCTCTTTTGGTTAGAAACCATTTCTGCAAGCAAACCAGGCAGTATCTTTTTTTTGAGGTGTGTCCGAAATCAGTGTTCTGGTGTGGATGTGGAGTTTGCTTTGCAGGTGGATCTCCCAGTTAACCCCACTTAGCTAAGCCTTTCTTTGAGCGATGGAATGGTCCTGGGGCATGTGAACTGGATTCCTGTCTGATGAAACTCGACGGGAAGATGTGTTCCAGAGACACGTCGTAGCCACGAAAGGGTGCTCAGTCTGTGGGATCAGGCTGGAGAGAGTGCAAAGTGGAAGGAAAAAAAACCCCACAGCAACACTCTTCCCCACCCTCAAAAAATAAAAAAATTACTAAACCCATCATGCGCGGAGTGTGAAGGTCAGGTTCTTAACGCCAGTGAACCTGTGCCTGTGAAGTTAGTGGGAGTCTCTTCAGTGACTCTGGTGGGCTTTGGGTCAGGCTCAAGTCCATCCTAATTAATTGTGTTGGGTCATGTTGACCACGCAGTAATGATGGGCAGGACGGCGGCTGTAACATCACTGACTAATGGCTGGGTGAGTTGCAGAAGAGTTGCTGAATAGCCCTTCACCCAGCCAATCGTGAAGTGCTAACTGGCTGTATGCATCCTGTAATTACTCTTATTTACTAATTGAAAGAATGAAGATAAATACGTCTTCCACATGTTTCTCAGCTGCCGATGCAGAAAATGTGGAAGAGGTTCAGCAACAGTTAGAGGAATTTTTTTCGTAAAAGCAAGAAGTATCCCAGGGTTATTTGAAAATTATTGTTTATTTTTATTACTTTTATTTATTTTTGTTATTTCAAGAAGGCTTAAGAAGTATTTTGGAAAAGCAAAACAAAACCTGCCTGGTTTATGTATACTAATTGCTAGGAAATCACAAAATATGGACCCCTAATTTCTATTAATCTCTGCTCTGGCAAAGGCTTGTTCTGTGTCTTTGGCTAAATCACTTGTCTCCCTGCTCCTGGTCTGTAAAATGGGGATGATATGTTGTTACCTCTTACAGATGCTGAGTGGATAAATTAGTATTTTTTTAAGGGTTTTATAGATACTGTGTTACAGTATTACATAAGTGTTAAGATTGATTTATTTGGGGTTTTTTTATTGTCTGTTGTAGGTGTAACATAGATATTTATGAGCTAATTTCTTGACAATTTAAAAATGCTGCAGTCTCGTTGTGAAACAAGAAATGCTGGTTTTGCAATTATTACAAAATCTGTTAGCTCCAGAGGATGTATATCATACAGCCAATGAAGAATTTTTAAGCACACAATATGTCTAGTATTTTTAGCCAGCATTTACCAATAATGGTTTTGTCTTTGTACTTCTTAATCCACTGCTTTGAAACTTTTACCTAATGTTATCTTAAATTGCATTCATTCTTACAATTACTGCTATTGTCATGGCTCTCAAGAGGTTAATTTGCAGTCAGGAGCCATGTGGATTTTGTATTGAACACAGTTAAAGAAACTGAGGGTAATCCTGGAAAACAAAGATTTATTTTTTTTGTGTGCCATGACCAAACCTTATGCATCTTTTCTCTGAAATTGTTTGTGTTTAGGAAAATACACTACAGTAGGCTAATAAACTGATGTGAAAATTTCTCAATTTACACCACTTGACAAGTGCTAAAAGAAAAGCATCTTTAATTTTAATGTGTTATTAGGACCTTTTTAGAGAGATTGTACAAGTTATTAACAAGGTCCTCTGAGACAGGAGACGGGTAATTAACAGGACCTACAGAAAGAGAGTTTAGGTAATTAACAAGATCTTAGGCACTGGACACGGGGAAACAAATAGTCCAATATTTAAAGCTGACAGGTTGTTACTAGTCTGATCAAATTCCAGATCTAGGAAACTGACTTTAGGTGCTTGGGAGCTTTCTAAGAAACATTTTGTGTATATAAAAAAATACATACATATACATAAATAATATAAATATGTATCTGTATATACATAGATGTATATGTATAGAGAGAGATGCATTCAAAAAAACCTTTTAAAGTAGCACTTCCATGACCTAAATATTGTTAAACTTAGAGAAAAGAGGATAAAGGTTGTGCCTACATACTGGTTACACTTTTTCTCAAGTTCTGGCAATAAATATGTTACATTCTGAGCAACGTGGAAGATGGGGTGGTGGCGGAGAAAGGAACATGTATCTTACTAGGATTCACTGTGACAGTTATGAATAAGGCTCATATTTATAACATTAGTTATTGGTCAATTGGATCATAAAATAGAAAAATATTATTTAATTTTTGTGCTATGTTCTTTTATTGCTTTGGCCTTTTTAAAAAATTGCAACTCACCCCCCAACCAACCCAACCGTTAAACTGATCTCTTTTGCATCTTTCTGCTTTGCCTGTCGTTTCCGAACGTGGTTATTTTCTTCAGCCTCTCTCCCCCATGCTGTCATCACACGCAGCCAACCGAGCTGCCTGCCTCTCCAACATTGCCTGCTCCAAACAAGTCGCTATCTGCAGTTTCATCTTTCCCAACGGATGCAATGTCTCTGCCTTTTGAGATCTTCTTTACTAGATTTGGAAAAAAGCAAAGTGAGGTGCCGTGAAAACATGAGGCTCTCTGTAACCACGGTGTGTTCAGATCACATGGAATTGTTAAGTCTAAAGAACAGCTGAGGTCTGTTACATTTCAGCAAATTTTAAAATTTTGTGTGTGTGATGGTCAACGAGTTACAGAAGCTTTTGGAAAATCGTGGTG